AATGAGTTCCCAGCGCAACATGGCAATGCCGGCTGAATGCATATATGCGGCAGTACAGCATAGGACCCACCACCGTCCCACCACGGCTGCCATCAACAGGCTGAAAAACACGTGCTGCCAAAACAATGGAGGTCATCGGTGAGGTCAAGGGCCATACTTGAGGTCCCTATATCAAGAAAGTTGTGACAGTACAGCATGGGACCCACCACCACTACACCACATATGTGTACAGTCACCATCAACAGTCTAAAAGGCACAACTGCCAAAACAATCAAGGCCTTTGGTGATGTCAGGGGCCACTCTTGAGCCAATATCAAGAAAGTAGACCCCTATATCTAGAAAATTGTGGCTGTACAGCCTAGTGCCCATTGCTCTCCCACCACATATGTGTACGGCCACCATCAACAAGCTAAAAAAAACACATGCTGCCAAAACAATGAAGGCCATCGGTGATGTCAGGGGCCACTCTTGAGCCAATATCAAGAAAGTAGACCTCTATATCTAGAAAATTGTGGCTGTACAGCCTAGTACCCATTGCTCTCTCACCACATATGTGTACGGCCACCATCAACAAGCTAAAGAAACACGCACTGCCAAAACAATGGAGGCCATCGGTGATGTTAAGGGCCACTCTTAAGGAGCCAATATCAAGAAAGTTGACCACCACTGATGGCAGTATGCCATTGAATTAAGGGCAGAGTCATTGTATGGCTACACGAGTTTATGGTCATGCAATCAGAAGCCCCTCATACCAGCTCCTGAATGTCACTAGGTGGCCATTAGTTGTCGATGAGAGCGCGCGGTCACGATGCTGATGTTGATTGAATGAGTTCCCAGCGCAACATGGCAATGCCGGCTGAATGCATATATGCGGCAGTACAGCATAGGACCCACCACCGTCCCACCACGGCTGCCATCAACAGGCTGAAAAACACGTGCTGCCAAAACAATGGAGGTCATCGGTGAGGTCAAGGGCCATACTTGAGGTCCCTATATCAAGAAAGTTGTGACAGTACAGCATGGGACCCACCACCACTACACCACATATGTGTACAGTCACCATCAACAGTCTAAAAGGCACAACTGCCAAAACAATCAAGGCCTTTGGTGATGTCAGGGGCCACTCTTGAGCCAATATCAAGAAAGTAGACCCCTATATCTAGAAAATTGTGGCTGTACAGCCTAGTGCCCATTGCTCTCCCACCACATATGTGTACGGCCACCATCAACAAGCTAAAAAAACACGCACTGCCAAAACAATGAAGGCCATCGGTGATGTCAGGGGCCACTCTTGAGCCACCCCTATATCAAGAAAGATGACCACCTCTATGTACAGAATGCTACTGAATTAAAGGACGGAGCCGTCTGGTATTAGAACTATCCGGTGTAATTATAGCCGCCGGCAAGCAAAGGACAGAGCCATGCGGGGGTGGAAGGGTTAACCCAGGGAGGTGACTCTGGAGAGGAGCCAGGTAATAATATGTGAGGGCACTTCTATTAAATCAATCCTGCGGGGACGGCACACTCAGAAGGACAAAGTCAATGAAATGACATCCAGCTTAGAGCACATATCTGCAGCAATTACGATTCCTATTTTTATAGAGTACACAATGTACACAGAAGTGCAAAGTCCAGGCAGCCCAGATGTCATCACCGCGAGGATATCAAGGACGCCACCCTCGTCTGCCGCGTCTGCAGAGGGCTCTACAGCAACGTGCAATGGAGGCGATGCCAAAAACTGGCGGCAATGTCAGGCCTTATTCACATCAGCGGGTTCATGTCACTAAAAAGAAAATGAAAGGGTCAGTCCACCTGAAAGTGATATTTTATTCATACAGTAGGTATAGCATAGAGAGCTGGATCACCCCCAACTTCCCTTTAGATACCCCCAATGGTGAGATCTCCCTGCTGTAATTTCCGGAACGGTTCCTGCCCACCTTGGTTGTCCCTGCCTATGTTGGTAAAGCAACTTCCCTCTCATGGTGCAATAGAAAAATCTCAAGAATGGAGGCTTCCTGTTACGTCTTGCTTTCTCCACCCAAAATTAGTCCCACTTTAACCCCTTCCAGCCTTGTCATTCCCGAAACTGAGCTATTATGCTCATGGGGCAGGATGGTCTCCTTGATTACATGATGGAGCAATGGAGAAAATCTCAAGCATGGAGGCTTCCTGTGCTGAAAATTGGGGTTTCCTTCATGCTTGTTCCAGGGCAGTGACTCGAAAAAGGGTTAGGCACTTGGCATTTTTAGGTCTTTCTTGCTATCTGTGACACCATATATGAGATCTAACCTCACTTCCTGCCAAGGTGACAAGGGGGTGTCAGGCTGGATAGGAAGTGAAGGGAAAACAGACAGCAATGAACACCTGACCGTGGAGTTACGTCTTGCTTTCTCCACCCAAAATTAGTCCCACTTTAACCCCTTCCAGCCTTGTGATTCCCGAAACTGGGCTCTTCTGCTCATGGGGCAGGACGGTCTCCTTGATCACGTGATGGAGCAATGGAGAAAATCTCAAGCATGGAGGCTTCCTGTTACGTCTTGCTTTCTCCACCCAAAACTTGTCCCACATTAACCCCTTCCAGCCTTGTCATTCCCGAAACTGGGCTAGTCTGCTCATGGGGCAGGATGGTCTCCTTGATCACATGATGGAGCAATGGAGAAAATCACAAGCATGGAGGCTTCCTGTGCTGAAAATTGGGGTTTCCTTCATGCTTGTTCCAGGGCAGTGACTCGAAAAAGGGTTAGGCACTTGGCATTTTCAGGTCTTTCTTGTTATCTGTGACACCATATATGAGATCTAACCTCACTTCCTGCCAAGGTGACAAGGGGGTGTCAGGCTGGACAGGAAGTGAGGGGACAACAGACAGCAATGAACACCTGACCGTGGAGTTACATCTTGCTTTCTCCACCCAAAACTAGTGCCACTTTAACCCCTTCCAGCCTTGTCATTCCCGAAACTGGGCTATTATGCTCATGGGGCAGGACGGTCTCTTTGATCACATGATTGGCTGTCCCACATCTAGTCCCACTTTAACCTGTTCCTGCCCGGCCCTGGCATCCCTTTAACAGGGCTATTATGCTCATGGGGCAGGACGGTCTCCTTGATCATGTGACCACTTTGATTGGCTGTCCCACATCAAGTCCCTCTTTAACCTGTTCCCGCCCGGCCCTGGCATCCTTTTAACTGGACTACAAGTGGTAGTTTTCCCATTTGCTTGCTTTCCATGCTGAAACAGCAGACGCGGTGACGCACGTGGTCAGAATAGTGCCGGTTGCACAGCTCCCGATGCACACAGGATGATGGGTTTTTTTTGGCACACTGACTTATGAAGGTCGGTGCTCCCTGTGACTGTGTGCAGCCTTGTGCCGCCATCTGTTGGCACGCTACAAAACTAGTTGGGAAACTTTTTGATACCACCTTGTATTAGCGGGGCAGGAAGGTGATTGGCTATCACGGTAGTCACATGATCGGTAGCCGGTTTCGGTTAAAGCCCACCCCCTTTGCCGCCGTAGACACTGTATGTATTACATGGGCAGCAAGAGGTTAACGTCCTTTCACAGGGCGCAGCGGCCACCTTCGGTCTCGTGACATTATGCCGTGTCTGTGGTTTGGACGCAGTCAGGCGGCTGATCGCCAGAAAGCAGAAGTGGCGCAGACAGTCAGCACTCTCCCACAGTGCCCGTCTGGTCCTTGGGTGTCCATGTGAGGGCCCCGGAGATGTCCCTGGCACAGACAGGGTTAAAACCTAGATGGCGATCTCGCGGTCACCAGACCACGTCTAATGTCCCCGTATCACGGGTGCGGCAATAAGCGGCGCCTATAAACCTTTCATGAAGCTCTTTCTGCCGTTAATAAGTTAATGGTTACATTTTCCCGGCTATGAACGTATCGTACGGACGCACGGCGCGCCGCGGAGGTTGGCGGGTGAGAGGACAGGATCGAAGCTGCACAGGGGGAGATCGATCGACTCATTTTTACAAAAGGACCCCCAATCAACCCTGAGAAAGATACTCGGGGGTCTCTTCATACCAACGCCGCCTCTTGCTGGACAAACCGCGGGAAAATGAACCCGAGCCAATGGCGGCAGTTTCCACCACTGCGCAAAACATCGTGTATGAGGCCGAGAAATAACCGAAACGTCCAATGAAAATAAATATTGTGCTTCTTGTCGAACAGATTCTCTGCAATGTGGACAAGGCGAAGGGTCCGCGATTCCACAACGGGAAATGTCACCGAAAGAAACGAACTGAAACTTCAGCGCGATGAAACGACACAATCACATGACGTGACGCGATACAATGTAACCAAGCTGAGACCACCGCTGAACGACATTATGTACGGCTCCATTCATCCCCGGTCCACGCTGCTGACACTTGTCGTGTGATATACGGTTGTGACACAGAAAGTCGCATGACAAGTCGTGCCGTCTTACAGTGTTCCTAAACCCTGGACCCGGCATTCACTATATCTGGTCTCCCCGGACCCCGCATTCACTGTATCCGCTCTCCCCGGACCCCGCATTCACTATATCCGCTCTCCCCCGGACCCTGCATTCACTATATCCGGTCTCCTCAGACCCCGCATTCACTATATCCGCTCTCCCCGGACCCCGCATTCACTATATCCGCTCTCCCCGGACCCTGCATTCACTATATCCGCTCTCCCTGGACCCCGCATTCACTATATCCGCTCTCCCCGGACCCTGCATTCAGAATATCCGCTCGCTCCGGACTCCGCATTCACTATATCCGGTCTCCTCAGACCCTGCATTCACTATATCCGGTCTCCTCGGACCCTGCATTCACTATATCCGCTCTCCCCGGACCCTGCATTCACTATATCCGCTCTCCCTGGACCCCGCATTCACTATATCCGCTCTCCCCGGACCCTGCATTCAGAATATCCGCTCGCTCCGGACCCCGCATTCACTATATCTGGTCTCCTCAGACCCTGCATTCACTATATCCGGTCTCCTCGGACCCTGCATTCACTATATCTGCTCTCCCCGGACCCTGCATTCACTATATCCGGTCTCCTCGGACCCTGCATTCACTATATCCGCTCTCCCCGGACCCTGCATTCACTATAGCCGGTCTCCTCGGACCCTGCATTCACTATATCCGGTCTCCTCGGACCCTGCATTCACTATATCCGCTCTCCCCGGACCCTGCATTCACTATATCCGCTCTCCCCGGACCCTGCATTCACTATATCCGGTCTCCTCGGACCCTGCATTCACTATATCCGCTCTCCCCGGACCCCGCATTCACTATATCCGCTCTCCCCGGACCCCGCATTCACTATATCCGGTCTCCTCAGACCCTGCATTCACTATATCCGGTCTCCTCAGACCCTGCATTCACTATATCCGCTCTCCCCGGACCCCCCGCATTCACTATATCCGCTCTCCCGGACCCCGCATTCACTATATCCGCTCTCCCGGACCCCGCATTCACTATATCCGCTCTCCCCGGACCCCGCATTCACTATATCTGGTCTCCTCGGACCCCGCATTCACTATATCCGCGCTCTCCCCGGACCCTGCATTCACTATATCCGCTCTCCCGGACCCCGCATTCAGTATATCTGGTCTCCTCGGACCCTGCATTCACTATATCCGCTCTCCCCGGACCCTGCATTCACTATATCTGGTCTCCTCGGACCCCGCATTCACTATATCCGCTCTCCCCGGACCCTGCATTCACTATATCCGCTCTCCCGGACCCCGCATTCACTATATCTGGTCTCCTCGGACCCTGCATTCACTATATCCGCTCTCCCCGGACCCTGCATTCACTATATCTGCTCTCCCCTGACCCTGCATTCACTATATCCGCTCTCCCGGACCCTGCATTCACTATATCCGCTCTCCCCGGACCCTGCATTCACTATATCTGCTCTCCCCTGACCCTGCATTCACTATATCCGCTCTCCCCGGACCCTGCATTCACTATATCCGCTCTCCCGGACCCCGCATTCACTATATCCGCTCTCCCGGACCCCGCATTCACTATATCCGCTCTCCCGGACCCCGCATTCACTATATCCGCTCTCCCGGACCCCGCATTCACTATATCCGCTCTCCCCGGACCCCGCATTCACTATATCTGGTCTCCCCGGACCCCGCATTCACTATATCCGCTCTCCCCGGACCCCGCATTCACTATATCCGCTCTCCCCGGACCCCGCATTCACTATATCTGGTCTCCCCGGACCCTGCATTCACTATATCTGGTCTCCCCCGGACCCCGCATTCACTATATCCGGTCTCCCACAGTACATAGAACATGGAAATGCAATTATTTTAGTAAATATAATCAGCAGTATATAGCAGTGACTTTTATCAGTGTCCAGCACAACACTGGTTAAAGCTTGTAGAAGGAGTTTTCATTCTCCCCTGATTGTCCTATGAGGCTGTATGACCCCTGACCTCTGTCTGGAGACTACTGATTGGCTCTGTGCTGATCATATGAACTCTCCCAAGAGGAAAAAAAAAAACCTCTCTAACAGCCTTTTTACACAAAAAAAAAACTCTCTATCAGGGGCGGATTGACCATTTGGAAACTTGGGCGCTGCCCGAGGGCCCGGGGTCAGTAGGGGGCCCCATGAGATGCCCCTGGTACCTTTTGCATAGGCTTTTTTGAGTTTGGGCAAGGACACAGGGGCCCCATGAGTTGTCAGTCTGCCCCTGCTCTCTAGCAATACCCACCAAACTGAGCATGTGCAGCTTGCCCCCAAGGCTCTGCTTTATCAACAGATGGATTGGGGACAGTAGAAGAAGGGGAGGATCAGAGAAGACAGGATCAAACAGCCTTTTTACACAATAAGATGGTACTATGTTGACTGGCCAAAGCCAAAGTCGCATGAAGGGACAGCAGTGTAAACCAATGAGGCTGATAGCAGATGACCTCATCAGTTTCTTGCTGCTCCTTCCCTGTCCAATCACAGGCTGGTACCCCCACCAGCCTGTCATTGGACAGGGAAGGGGAACACCCCCGATCCCTGACCAAGCTGGACTGCTGTAACTGCAGCAGAGAAAAGAGCGGTCAGAGATCTGTCCGGCAAGAAGATCTCAAGAAGAACATTTCTGAAATGTAATTTTCCCCCCTGAAAATGCTAGTTGCCTGGCCGCGCTAGTCCAATGGCATAGCCCTGGAAGTCAGGTCTGATAGACACTTGGCTGCCCAGGCATACCTGTTTATGCCTGTAGACCACAAAGGAGGGGGGAAGCCATAAAAGTAATGGGTGGCCTCGCTGGCCAATAGGAAGAGGCAGAACGCAGGGGCGGGGGCGGAGTCTGCAGGTTCACTTAAAGCCGCAGAACAGAGCAAAAGTTGGAGGAGCCGACCCAGACAATGACAAGTCTGCAATCACCAATCCGACCAATCGGGTGAGGCCTCTGGGAGCCCCCCACGGCCAGGCACGCTGTATACAGGAATGAGAGGAGTGTGTGTGCCCGGCATGTGCTGGACTCTGATCCCCATCCCCCAGCGCACACGCAGAGACTCGCCCTGGCTGCCCGTTTAATATTTATTACATCATTTTATAGGGCCCCTCGTTTAATAAACGCTGAGCGAGCGATTCCGCGCCATTCCTGCAGATCATTAAACCCCGCGAAGCCGCAGTACTGGAAGGAGCTTTAATGGCCACGGCGGGCCACGTGTTAACCCTCCGCGCTCCGAGACCCATAATTCCTGTATGTGTTAGTGTACCTACAGACCACGGGGGGGGGGGCAGCACCCCTCTATATATCCAGGGGGGGTGTCACCCCTCTATTTATCTTGGGGGAGGCACCCCTCTATATATCCTGGGGGGGCGGCACCCCTCTATATATCCTGGGGGGTGGCACCCCTCTATATATCCTGGGGGGGCGGCACCCCTATATATATCCTGGGTGGGGCGGCACCCCTCTATATATCGTGGGGGGGGCGGCACCCCTCTGTATATCCTGGGGGGCACCCCTTTATTTATCCTGGGGGGGCACCCCTCTATATATCCTGGGGGGTCTGCACCCCTCCATATATCCTGGGTGGGGGCAGCACCCCTCTATATATCCTGGGGGGCACCCCTCTATACATCTTTGGGGGGGTGGAACCCCTCTATATATCTTGGGGGGCAGCACTCCTCTATATATCCTGGGGGAGGCGGCACGCCTCTATATAGGATGGAGGAGGCGGCACCCAACTATATACCCTGGGGAGGCGACACCCCTCTATGTATTCTAGGGGGAACCCCTCCATATATCTTGGGGGTGGCACCCCTCTATATATCCTGGGGGGCCACCCCTCTATATATCCTGAGGGGGGCGGCACCCATCTATATATCCTGGGGGGCATCCCTCTATTTATCCTGGGGGGGCAGAACCACTCTATATCCTGGAGGGGATTGGTATCATTGGGAGGAATAGCGCCCCATCATTGGTGTCAGTGGTAGGAATAGTGCCCCATCATTGGTGTCAGTGGGAGGAATAGTGTCCCATCATTGGTGTCAGTGGGAGGAATAGTGTCCCATCATTGGTATCAGTGAGAGGAATAGTACCCCATCATTGGTGTCAGTGGGAGGAATAGTGCCCCATCATTGGTGTCAGTGGGAGGATAGTGCCCCATCATTGGTGTCAGGTGGAGAATAGTGCCCCATCATTGGTATCAGTGGGAGGAATAGTGCCCCATCATTGGTATCAGTGGGAGGAATAGTGCCCCATCATTGGTGTCAGTGGGAGGAATAGTGCCCCATCATTGGTGTCAGTGGGAGGAATAGTGCCCCATCATTGGTGTCAGTGGGAGGAATAGTGCCCCATCATTGGTGTCAGTGAGAGGGAATAGTGACCCATCATTGGTGTCAGTGGGAGGAATAGTGCCCCAGTGTCAGTGGGAGGAATAGTGCCCCATCATTGGTGTCAGTGGGAGGAATAGTGCCCCATCATTGGTATCAGTGAGAGGAATAGTGACCCATCATTGGTGTCAGTGAGAGGAATAGTGCCCCATCATTGGTGTCAGTGGGAGGAATAGTGTCCCATCATTGGTGTCAGTGGGAGGAGGAATAGTGCCCCATCATTGGTGTCAGTGGGAGGAATAGTGCCCCATCATTGGTGTCAGTGGGAGGAATAGTGCCCATCATTGGTGTCAGTGGGAGGAATAGTGCCCCATCATTGGTGTCAGTGGGAGGAATAGTGCCCCATCATTGGTGTCAGTGGGAGGAATAGTGCCCCATCATTGGTGTCAGTGGGAGGAATAGTGCCCCATCCAGTGGGAGGAATAGTGCCCATCATTGGTGTCAGTGGGAGGAATAGTGCCCCATCATTGGTGTCAGTGGGAGGAATAGTGCCCCATCATTGGTGTCAGTGGGAGGAATAGTGCCCCATCATTGGTGTCAGTGGGGGGAATAGTGCCCCATCATTGGTGTCAGTGGAGGAATAGTGCCCCATCATTGGTGTCAGTGGGAGGAATAGTGCCCCATCATTGGTGTCAATGGGAGGAATAGTGCCCCATCATTGGTGTCAGTGGGGGGGAATAGTGCCCCATCATTGGTGTCAGTGGGAGGAATAGTGCCCCATCATTGGTGTCAGTGGGAGGAATAGTGCCCCATCATTGGTGTCAGTGGGAGGAATAGTGCCCCATCATTGGTGTCAGTGGGAGGAATAGTGCCCCATCATTGGTGTCAGTGGGAGGAATAGTGCCCCATCATTGGTGGAGGAATAGTGCCCCAGTGGGAGGAATAGTGCCCCATCATTGGTGTCAGTGGGAGGAATAGTGCCCCATCATTGGTGTCAGTGGGAGGAATAGTGCCCCATCATTGTGTCAGTGGGAGGAATAGTGCCCCATCCATGGGGGGAATAGTGCTCCATCATGGTATCAGTGGGGGGAATAGTGCTCCATCATTGGTGTCAGTGGGAGGAATAGTGCCCCATCATTGGTGTCAGTGGGAGGAATAGTGCCCCATCATTGGTGTCAGTGGGAGGAATAGTGCCCCATCTTTGGTGTCAGTGGGGGGAATAGTGCTCCATCATTGGTGTCAGTGGGAGGAATAGTGCCCCATCATTGGTGTCAGTGGGAGGAATAGTGCCCCATCATTGGTGTCAGTGGGAGGAATAGTGCCCCATCTTTGGTGTCAGTGGGGGGAATAGTGCCCCATCATTGGTGTCAGTGGGAGGAATAGTGCCCCATCATTGGTGTCAGTGGGAGGAATAGTGCCCCATCATTGGTGTCAGTGGGGGGAATAGTGCTCCATCATTGGTGTCAGTGGGAGGAATAGTGCCCCATCTTTGGTGTCAGTGGGAGAAATAGTGCTCCATCATTGGTGCCAGTGGGAGGAATAGTGCTCCATCATTGGTGTCAGTGGGAGGAATAGTGTTCCATCATTGGTGTCAGTGGGAGGAATAGTGTCCCATCATTGGTGTCAGTGGGAGGAATAGTGCTCCATCATTGGTGTCAGTGGGAGGAATAGTGCCCCATCATTGGTGTCAGTGGGAGGAATAGTGTCCCATCATTGGTGTCAGTGGGAGGAATAGTGCCCCATCATTGGTGTCAGTGGAGGAATAGTGCCCCATCATTGGTGTCAGTGGGAGGAATAGTGCCCCATCATTGGTGTCAGTGGAGGAATAGTGCCCCATCATTGGTGTCAGTGGGAGGAATAGTGCCCCATCATTGGTGTCAGTGGAGGAATAGTGCCCCATCATTGGTGTCAGTGGGAGGAATAGTGCTCCATCATTGGTGTCAGTGGAGGAATAGTGCCCCATAACTGGTGTCAGTGGAGGAATAGTGCCCCATCATTGGTGTCAGTGGAGGAATAGTGCTCCATCATTGGTGTCAGTGGGAGGAATAGTGCCCCATCGTTGGTGTCAGTGGAGGAATAGTGCCCCATCATTGGTGTCAGTGGGAGGAATAGTGCTCCATCATTGGTGTCAGTGGAAGCCCCATCATTGGTGTCAGTGGAAGCCCCATCATTGGTGTCAGTGGAAGCCTCATCATTGGTGTCAGTGGAAGCCCCATCATTGGTGTCAGTGGAAGCCCCATCATTGGTGTCAGTGGGAGGAATAGTGCCCCATCATTGGTGTCAGTGGAAGCCCCATCATTGGTGTCAGTGGAAGCCCGATCATTGGTGTCAGTGGAAGCCTCATCATTGGTGTCAGTGGAAGCCCCATCATTGGTGTCAGTGGAAGCCCCATCATTGGTGTCAGTGGAAGCCTCATCATTGGTGTCAGTGGGGGGAATAGTGCCCCATCATTGGTATAAGTGGGAGGAATAGTGCTCCATCATTGGTGTTAGTGGAGGAATAGTGCCCCATCATTGGTATCAGTGGAGGAATAGTGCCCCATCATTGGTGTCAGTGGAGGAATAGTGCCCCATAA